TTTTCGATTTCCGATTTTCTCGCATTATAAGTTTGGGAGTTCCGATCTAGTGCATGTTGTGGAGCATGCGATTCTCTACAAAATTCTGTATATGGCGATTTTGCCAAATACCATTTTTCGGAATCTGATTTTTACCGTAAAATATCTGCGAACATTAAGGATACATCACTGGATAATATTGTGATACTATTTATAAAGCCACAATATTGTGTAGTCAGAATATTGCCAAGATTGGAAGCTATCAAAATATTCAGTCAGGTGTCCTAATTCTATCGGAAAAAAAACACTTATCGTGTTGCATTCAGAACTTGAGCTACTTACGTCGTAAAGAAATAATTTTTTCTTTCCAGAAAAGAGCAAGCATTTCTCTATCCACTAATATAAAATTTATTGTAAAATAATCAACTAATGACTCAGGAAAAGCATAATAATAGAGATGGGATCAAATATTATTGGATTTCCTTGTGATCCTAATTCAGCCACTCCATGTATTTTTTTTCCTAATTCTGTCGATTGCATGGAAAATTGCAGTCAATATTAGAAAAAGTTCATTATTTTTTGAAGCCCATTGATTGAAAAAATGAAAAATATATCATTCGATTCATCTTGATATGGGCTATCCATTGATATGTTTTAGAAAAAAATTGAAAATTATGGAATATTTTTTTCCCCTACACTAGATAAAAAAGCCACCGGTAGAATTTTTTTCCCGTTCTTAATTCTGCCGCATCATATAGTTTGTGTTCCTAATTCTGCCGAATTACATGCAACATACATAGAGGTATCAAATATATACTCTTGGGTGCTATCTCGGCTAAAAACAAAAGAAACACTAACAATGTTATATCATTCGAATGCTCTACCAAGGAGTAATACGCTCCTATGAAATGAGCATACAAAAAAATCAGTTGTACTTGAATTTTTTAAATAGATTTTTATAAAATTTTCACTATGATTGTTACAGGACCCACGTGTAACTTTTTATTTTTATAATTGAGTTCCTGTGTTCTTAATTTCAAATACAACCCCTTTATTTATTTTATAGTATCGTCTCTCCATCTCGAGAGAAAAGAAATATTATTTATGTATATAAGCATATAGAGAAGGCAATAGAGAGAGAGAGGGACGAGACTAAATAAAAGGAAGACAATCTCGGACGTCCTTCTTGTATATATAATATTATTCAACAGAACTGATAGTGAATGCATCTGCATTCTTCTCAGACTGTGCAATATAAGGAGTATCGAGAAGTAAGAATCAATTGATTCTTAGTAAAGGGAGAAGAGGAAAGAGAAAGAAGACAAAAGAAAGAATGATGTAGATATGTATGAGAATTATTATACAAAATAAAGAAGAGCGCAAGGGGGAAAAAGCGGATCCTGGATCCTCGGATCCTGGTGGATCCTGTGGATCCTGGTGGATCCTACTGGATCCTGGTGGATCCTGGTGGATCCTATTGGAACCTGGTGGATCCTGATGGATCCTAATGGATCCTAGCGGATCCTAGTGGATCCTGACGAAACCTGATGAATTGTAGAATAAATTATTTCAAGCGTACAGAAACAAGGATGGAAAAGTTGATCTTAATGGATATGAGAATTCTTTAAGGTCCAACTAAATTAAGTGAGAAAAGGGAATAGTGACTTCAAAATTTGTAACTAAGTAAAGAGAAAAAAAGATCCAGGATACCGAGATGATTATGTTTTGGTAAATTTTGGCATATCATCATGGATTCTGCGTATTTTTTGGATCCATCAAGATTTACGCTTCCTCGATCGGTTTGATATTTTTGTAATACATGATGATTTCTATTGCATTCTAGTTATCTCTGATAAATTGTAATCGATTGTGTTGAATTATAGCCAATGACGGTAATCTGTGACCGCTTTTGGTACACTTCTAGAAATATATTCTAAAATCTCTTAGGACTCTAGAATCCGCTTTTCTCCGTCAAACTAAAGATGCCAGAACTTAGAGCAACCCTCTACTTTATTCTTAATCCTGTTTTTCCTTGAGAAAGTGTGAAAGAACATTTTGGGCTCCTGAATCTGAAGATTCATGTCATATTTTATTCAGAATTCCGTTCCCAATTTTAATAATACTGGTTTGCAGGATATTTCATTGTGAAAAAAATATTCTTCTCAGGATCTTTTCAAGTTTCCACTCAGATTTCTTTATTATTTTAACATGATGGACCATACTAGGATTCACTCTTGATCTTACTCAAAACTTGATAGGGATTACAGAAAGAATATCGCTTAGATTCTATTATAGTTTTAACAGAATTCATTTGGGATCTCTGCGTCATGGTCCTCTCCTGGCTTACAGTTAAATAAGGCAAAGATCCTACAAGGAATTAATAGAAGAGCAATGAAAATCCTCAGGTAGTGGATTTTTCTAAGATTCAATCACGATTCTATCTAATTTTCTTAAGCATTTTTCTTACGAATATCTTTTCTGAACATTTCCAGGGTTGTCTTAGGGTCTCTTCAAGGACAAGCATTTCGGATCCTTGCTAGAGAATGTCAAGGATGGCCAGGATCTTTCTGAAAGCATATCAAGGTTAGACGAAGATCTTTACCATTTTCATTTAGAGTCTACTAAAGCTTGATCTTGAGAATTGTAACAAGATCAATGATTGATCTGGTTCAGGATTTTGAATAAAATTATGAAATGTTTCCACCAAAATCCTTAACAGTTCCTATTTAAGATTCTTCGAATATTTTTGAATCTTTGAATCTCAAAAACTCAAATTGTGCTTGTTAAATAAAATTTTAACAGTAACTATACTAAAATGACAATGAAAAATTTGCAATGTGTTTTGTTCCGATTTTGACAGAAATGTAGAAGATCAAGAAGGTACCTGAATTTCATTCTAATATTCCTTTGTTTCTATGTGTCAGTGAATGGAAGAATTCTGACAGAATTTTTGAAGATTTCTCGTCAAAGATTTTTAATATTTATCTTCAATATTGCATGACATTTACAGCATGGAGCTCAGTTATTTTTTGAATTTTATTTTCATATAAAACTTGCAAACTCATTAAAATGGAGATTTTAATATCAGTTTAACTGTTGCACTAACTTTTTCTTAAAAAAGCTTTTAGTCAAGGACGAGTACTTCAATAAAACTTGTACTGGATTTTATTTATTCGTGCTAATCAGAAAAATACCTTTTTATTCAAATTGAAATCAACCAGTCATAGTAGAATTTTATGATAAGTAATCAATAGATTAAGTTTATATTGAATTTTTGTTCAAATAACTTATGTTTGCATAAAGTTCAAATACAAGTTAATAGTTCAGAGGGAATTCGAGATACAGAAGGTTTGAGTTAAATCAAATAGCATGGTACAGTCTACTGCAGTGAACTAATCAGTTTTTTAACTGAACATATAGAAATCAATAATGTGCGTTCATTTCTCTATTCTGCTTAGAGAATCCTGCAAAAATTTTGACAATACATCGGATATCATCCTTACAGAATCGAAGTGGAGTTCTGCGAAGTGCAATCAGAAAATATTTTCCAATTAGAAGCCATTGAAATTCTGAGAAGAACTTGACATAAACTCAATACAAAATGACTCAGAATTTCTCTAAGATTTTGTTCTAATCATAACAGAATCGTGTTTATTTCGTGCCTACACGTTTTTCTGAGGATTTGACCCTCTATTAACATATTTCTTATTTTAATTGCATTGGTGAACTGCTCAGGATACTGATAGAATCCTGTTATGAACCTTGTCGAGGTCTTGAAATTCCGCGGCTACACGGCTTTCTCAAGATTTAGCAGCTTCTTCGACGATATATGATTGGGAAATAGCAATAAACTGTTACAATCTTGACTGAATCTCAATTAAAATTCTGTCGGCATCTTAAAATTTTATGGGTACACACTTTTTTCCGTTTTTCGCATTTTCCCCGGAAAAAATGCTGAACCTGTTCAGCGCCGTTGCTGCCTATGTCAAAAATCTAGCTCAAAAAGACTTGAGCTTTTTCTCTAGCAAAAATTCAACACTATCTAGTACGATCTTTTGAAATCCAGAAGAATTCAGCAAAAATTAACAAGCATCATAATAAACTGAAACCAATCAGGAACACCTAAATCTTGCTAAATCTTATTCTATCGTATAAACCGCAGAACTCATTCAGATACTCAAAATTTCATCGGAGCCCACCAGGTCTCAATCTCCGAAATTTCTTTTTTCTTTGTTTTCAAAAATTCTAGGGCCAATTCTTCGTCTGTTTACTTTGTTTCCATGTATTCTAATGGCTTCGGATCGAGTCCAATAGATCGTGGGATGTTTCAAGGTCCGTTTTTCCTTTGTAAAGTAGACTAGTCATAGTTGTATAAATAGCACATGGTGCTCCCATTGATTCATCCAGAACATATTTTGAATTATGCATCCTTATTTTATGAATCTGGTTGATTTCCTTGCTTTTGTGGCTATTCAGGACATTAATCTATCTTCATAAATGATAATGAGTTCTAATGGATTCTGGTGGATCCTGATGGATCATAATGGATCCTAATGGATCCTAATGGATCCTAATGGATCCTAATGGATCCTAATGGATCCTAATGGATCCTAATGGATCCTAATGGATCCTAATGAATCCTAATGAATCCTATGGATCCTGGCGGATCCTAATGGATCCCAGGATCCACCAGGATCCGCTTTTTCCCCCTTGGAAGAGCGTACCTATTAAATAGTTGAAGAAGAACAGCAAAATAAAAAATCTGTTACAGCACTCTCTAACAACTATAATAAATTCATTTTATTTTTGTAGAAATTGATTGAATATTAAAAGCGCTGTTAGTTAACTGCGTCTCTTATTCAATAAGTTCTTGCTTTCTGTGAGACACAACAATAATTTATGACTAGATCTTAACTGAACATATTTTGGTAATATAAAGAATTTCTTTTTTTGTAGAATAATTTGGAAATTTATTTCTGTATCAATCTTCTTTGCATATTCATTTTTATTTGGTTTTGGTAATGAAATACTCGATACAAAATTTAGTCGATGCTATTAATAGTAATGTAAGTTCTATTGGAGCTTCAAAAAGATCTAAAGTACCTAAAAGAACGATACATTCACATCGTCAAAATGCTTTGGAAAAATTAGGTGGTGGTCATTATCGTTTTTTGAACGATGAACAAGAGGATTTTCTTGTATACTTTTTTAAATTATCACCGGAATATGGATTAACAATTACTGTTGATGTTGCATAAAAAATTTCGAATGAATATTTTAAGTCTATCGGATTACCATCTCGATCATGTTGTAAATGGTTAAGGTCGTTTGTTGGCCGTCACAAGACGGAAATCAAATGGAAAAATCTGTTAGCACAATCCCTTGCGGGATTAAAAATGTGAAACACGATGTAACTGCTGTTTCAAATCTTTTAAAAACTATTCTTTTCAATATATGTTGGGGTATATTTCTTCACCATGGACTACTGTACATTATATAGTTCAAACAGGATAATATTCCATACATGCTCTAATCATATGTTAGTTATACATTATCTAATAGCTGCTTAAAGTCTTCTATCACAGTCTGTGGCTTGTATAAGGCTGTCTGTCACGTCTGTGATGGGGCGTTGCAAAGAATGTCTGTCACGGTCTGTGATAGAGAAGACGTTGCTACGGATGTCTATCACGTCTGTGCCAGACCGTTCCTAAGGATATCTGTCACGGTCTATGATGTCTGACACGTTTGTGATATCTCGCTGCTAAGACTGTCTGTCACGTCTGTAGAGGGGGGGGGGGAGGAGTGGATGCAAATTGATACCCTATATACTTCAACACTCCTTTCAGATCGTGTTTCACAAAAGGAACAAAAACGTTAACAAATTCGAGCAAAAACATTTACAGAAGAAACTAGAAAGTCTCGGTTTGGGCTTTTAAAGTTGACATTAATTAAACTTGATCTTATGGATAAACCATCACAAATATTTAATTGTGACGAACATGAATTATCAGATAAAACTAAACGTAGATTCATTAAAAACAATATTCTCTTAGTGTCTGTATATGTTTAGGTAAACATGTCATTGTAACATGAATTACTCGGTATGTTTTTGAAAAAGACGGTGGTGGTAGTAAGCAATATACTACTACATTAATTGCAATTAGTGCGGTTGGCCAGATGATCTCTCCTTTCATTATTTATGCTGGTAAATATTTGATGAATACGTGGTGCCAAGGTGGACCTGACGGATCACGTTATACTGTAACAATAAAGTAATTAAATATTATATGTACCGTTTTGCTGTCTGTTTCTATCTAAACTAGGGTTGGATTGATTCATGTTCATTTGAATATTGGCTTCAAGAGATGTTTATTCCAGCTACTGAACATCTCAATCGACCTCTGCTACTTAGTATGGACGGTCATAATGCAAATATGAATTTAAATATTATACAATTGATGAAACAACACAATATTGTTTGCTTGATTCTTCCTTCTCATTATACTCATAGTTTACAACCAACTGATGCTGTTCCCTAGACTGAAAGGCTACGGTCTAGAAACTACAATTTACCTGTGTCTGTCTGTCAATCTGTCTGTAACGCCTGGTAGAAATGACCATTTTCGTGGTACAAAGTACCATAGTCGTGATACAACTGACCATTTTCATGGTACAAAGTACCATAGTCGTGGTACAAGTGACCATTTTCATGGTACCAGTGACCATTTACATGGTACAAAGTACCATAGCCATGGTACAACTGACTATTTTTGTGGTACAAAAGTACCACTTTGGCGGTACAGAGGACCATTTATTTGACACAATTGACCATTTGCATTATACAGATGACCGTTTCCACGATACAATCAACCATTTCTGCGACACAGTTGACTATTCTTATGGCTCAAATGAGCATGTATGTGTCACAATTGACCATATCCGTATTAGAAATGGCCATTACTTTGACATAAATCATCATGTTAGTCGTTATAATTAACTAAAGCATAAACTTTATCATATACATTAGCATCTTTCAATATTTTCTGTGAACTATTTGCATATATCTATAGTATGTAATATAGAACGTATTACAAATATTAATAATTTCTCCTAAACTCATCATTATACAGAATTCATTTTTATTTAAAAATATAAGGACATCTTTGTCATCATTCCGTCAGTCTCGGGCCAAGGGAATCAACATTCAATGTCGGTGAACGTTACTTGCTCTATTTAAAAGAGCACCCATGAGCCCATCAAAAAATCGAAGCACTCGATAAATTTTAAATTTTTGATTTGATGTTCTCATATTGTTCAGCATCATCTAAAACCTCTAAATCCAAATTTTTAGTGCATTTGGTTGAGCCTGTGAAAAGTTAGCTCAATTTTACCGTCGGGCACTCACGAGGTCATTTGAAAAATATTATCAAAAATCGTCCATATAAAGTTGAGATTTCTTCAATAACGTAAAATTAATGAAATTTTTTATGTAATATACCAAAAGATAGAGCATTGATAGCTGAACAAAATTACCTATTTACATATTATATTTCCATGAACAGATCGATAGTTATTTAGGAAATACTGCCCGTCACTGACCATTTTTCAAGTGAAAAGTGAGTCAATTTTTTGCAGTACATCAGCTGCCATTCAGTCATTTTAAAAGATACCAGACTGATTTTCATATATGTTGTACAACTTTTTCTCCTCTACAAAATGGTAAAAAACAAGTTTAAAAAAAACGTCAAATGGTGTCCAAAAATGTCTTACAATGTTGGCCAACTAGACATTGTTTATGCGAAAAAATTATTTAAATATTATTTTTTGATGAAAAATACAACTTTTAGTGGATTGTAAACTATCTACAGTACTTTTCATATAAGTGCGACATACTTCAGTGGATATG